TACAACATATATTCCTCTATAGTAGAATTCTTCGGTATTTTTCCGATATTTTTCTGGTCTGTGTTATATATTTGAACATGTTGCCTATTGCATTTGACCTTTGCGTTTTTTTTACCTGTACAACATATAGTCCTCTATATTAGAAGGGTGTGGGTGTGGGTGTGGGTGTGGGTGTGGGTGTGGGTGTGGGTGTGGGTGTGGGTGTGGGTGTGGGTGTGGGTGCGGGTGTGGGTGTGGGTGTGGGTGTGTTGTTGTAAATATATATAGAAATGATTCGAAAATCAAATCAATATTTTTAAAGCTAGCAAGGCCGGTTTCGACTATTGCTAAAAATAGTCAAATTATCAATTGCTTAGTCTTAGTTGGTAAAATATAAATTTTTCTCCTACTATGTCTAATTAAAGTCAGGAGTATAAGACTAACTCCTAATCTTAGTAGAAGACATAATAAAAAAGTATTAGAAAGTTATATAATAAAAAACTTCTAATAATTATAAAAGAGATTCTCCAACTAAATTCGTTTATTAAAAAAATATAAAACGATCGAAAATATACCTTTGTATATTGTATCGAGAGTTCCGTAGCACGGCAACGGGTTTGGTGTCGAACTGTGTGATGACGTTGGTTTTTTGGTATTTCTACTGTTCCCATTCTGTTGAGAGTCTGTTTTTTTTGTAGATGAAGTCTTTGGTAATATTGTTGAACATTGTCGTATATGTTTTGAAGTTGAATTGTAAGTAGTATCTTATATCTAGAAAAAAAAATATAGATATGAAAGATTATGGAGAAATAATGTAATCAAGTAAACAGTTATATCTTGAGCTTTACGTTAAACAGTTACGGAGCAAAGATATATACAAAGAAAAAGATAAAGACAAAAAAACTGCAAGTATGTATGAGATCACAGTGAAAAAAAAGTGAACAAGAAAATAAGTAAATCATATATAGAATTTACAATGAACAAATCGATAAACATGAAAAAATACAATGTTTACAGCACCTTTCTATAATCATTCAATAGGTATCAGTCGTTGGATTGTTCGAGAAGCTGCTTATGTTGTAGTTTCCATTTTCGTCAATATATCTCGTTTTGGTTTCTTGTGTATTAAAAGACTTTGTAATGTTCGATTTAATATAGTACCAAGAATCAGTCTTGTATTTCTTAAACGTGAACCTGGATAGACATAGTATTTGTTCCAAATTTGACGATATTCTTTTTTAAAATTTGTTAATGGGCCAGTTTCGAATGTGTAATGCAAGTATATTTGATCTTTATGTTCATAATTTGTCTGCTTTTTCAAAGATGTACCATTTGTTTCAAGTTGAACTTTTTGTTCTCGTCTTGTGGGTTTATAAAGTAATTCATGATGTAGTTGTTGATACGATTCAGTATTTAATTCAGTCCACACATTCATTGCATTATATTTAATGAAGAAGTTTGTCATATGTTGTTGTATAAATTTCGGTGGATAACCATTCACTAATAGTATCATTTCAATACTTAATCGTTCCATATCAAAGTCTTCCACAGTGGAACACATTCGAGCTGCTCGAACTAATGCATTGTTTAATATGTTCATATGAACATGTCGTGGATGATCTGATGAATACGGTAGAATATAAGGTTCAGATGCTGATTTATGATAGATACACGTTTTTAAATCACCATTGTTATTTTCTATTGTAACATCGAGATAATCTAATGTTTGGCTAATTGTCGTTGTAATTTTAATATTTGAATCTGTTTGAGTTGTTTCATCAAGTAATTTTTGAATTTCTTCTTTAGTTAAATTACTTGTCATAAATACATCATCAATATATCTACAAGTATTTTTTATCATAATAAAAAAAAGACAAGAAGTTCACAAATTAAAAATTTACCGTCCATAAATTCCATTATGTATTTTTTGATGTTGAATTAATTTTTGTTCCCATTCTAACATATAAATATTCGCTAACGCCATAGTGAAAGGTGAACCCATAGCACCCCCTTTTATTTGACGATAATATTTTTTTTTATAAGCAAATGAATTGGTATCTAAAACAACACATGCTAATTGAATAATAGTACTTATTTTAAGAGTGCCAATTTTTCCATTGATAGCATTTTTTTCACAAAATCGAGTTAAAGCAGTAATAGCACCATTACGTGGAATCATTGTATACAAATCAGCGACATCAAATACAATAAATAATGTTGTTGAATTAAGATAACCTTGTTGTTGATATTCTTTTAATTTTCGAACAACATCTATACCATTAATAAATGTAATATCTTTTGTTACATAATTATATATTGGAGTAAGAAGTTGATCTAAAAAACTTGATATAAGTCTTGCTGGTGCATTGATGGAAGCAACAATAGGTCGAACAGATATATCAGGCTATGGAAAAAAAAAAAAAAAAAAAAAAAACTTAAATT